TCTCAAATGCATGCAAAGGAGCCTTTGTGTCTATACACCCGAATAAATGTGCATGCAAGAAAAAAGTTTACTTTTATTTCAGAAAAGAAATTCAAAATGTGAAATTTAGAAACAATTTGCTTCCGATTTACTCACTTGCAGCACTTCGTGCTGCAGCAAGTGCAGCAAGTGCAGCAACTGCAGCAACTGCAGCAAATGCAGCAAATGCAGCAATTGCAGCAGGTGCAGCAAGTGCTGCAGGTGCAGCAGCTGCAGCAGGTGCAGCAGCTGCAGCAGCTGCAGCAAATAAGGCTGCTGTCAGCAGCAGCAAAGTTGTGGGCAGCTTTTATTTGTTCAAATGGGAGAGAGTATTTCGGGTGTCTAGACACTCCGTAGCAACAAGTAGAAAGTGCAAAATGCAAATTCAAAAAATCAAAACAGCAGCTTTTGCTGCTGCAGCAAATGCATGCAGCAGCAAAAGTTGCATGCAGCAGCAAAACTTTCCCAAATGTTTTTTTATTTTGTAAAAAATAAAAGAAAATTTGAGCCGCCCAAATATGAAGCAGCAAACTGCAAAGTTGCTTTTGGCAGAAGAATGAAAATTATAATTTCATTTCTGGATTTAATTTTATTTTTTAATTTTTAAAAATTAAAATTGAAGTTTTCTTTTCGCAGAACAAGGCGAGGCAGAAGCGGCAGCTAAAGAACAGCAGCAAGAAGCAGCAGCAGCAAAAGACAGCAGCGCCCCCAGCGAGAAAAAAGAAGAAGCAGCAAAAGAAGAATTTAATAAAAGTGAAGAAGAAAAATGCGACGGAGCAGCAGCAGCAGAGACACCCGAAGGAGGCCGAGGAGTACATACACCTGATCAAGGGGCCGCTGCTGCGGCGCAAAACGAAACTGCTGCTGCTGCTGCTGCTGCTGCAGAAGCAGACAGCAACCCAGAAACAGCAACCAGAGAGTCTGAAAGAGATGAGTCGGCCGAAAGAGATAAAAACGAAATAGACGCAGCAGCGCAGCAAACAAGAAACCAAGAGCAGCAGCAGCTAACCCCAGTGCAGCAGCAGCGGCAGCAGCAGCAGGTGCTGTGTGAAGCCGACAAGCAGCAGCACCTGCGCACGCAGGACCTGCACGCAGCAGCAGCAGACGCAGCAGCAGAAGACGCAGCAGCAGCAGCAGCAGCACATCATTCCAGAAGCAGCAAATATGAAATGAAAAGAAGACACACAACAACTGACGTGCCTTATGACTCGCCGAGCAGCTCCGCAGGCTCTTCAGCTGTATGTACACCCCGCGCTTCGAATTCAAAACTGCCGATCCTGGACTTGAACACATATACAAGTTTCAGAAATTGTTTCTTTCGATTCTAAACATCTTTAGATGTTTCTTTTCTTTTTAATTCCATTTTTCCATTTAATTCAGATTCTCTTTTCCAATTTGTGCAACTTTCAACTTTCCGTCCCGCACTGAGCTTTGCTGCTTTCCTCCAGCCCAACGAAATGAACAACGCCTGAAGTGTCAGCAGCAAGCTGCTGCTGCTGCTGCTGCTGCTGCTGCTGCTGCTGCTGCTGCTGCTGCTGCTGCTGGTGCTGCAGCGGGAGGAGGCGGGGAGCAGCGGCGCGAAGGCGCTGGCTGCGGAGCTGCGGCAGCAAAGCGCGCTGGGTTTGTCTTTGGATGAAGAGTTGGCAGCAGCAGAAAAGGCTTTGGAAGCAGCAGAAGAAGCAAATGGAAAAGTTGTGAACAGACTGGTGGCGCTCCTGGGGGCGCAGGCGCTGCCGGAGCTGCGCCGCAGCAGCAGCCAGCTGGGCAGCAGCAGCAGCAGCAGCAGCCAGCTGGGCAGCAGCAGCAGCAGCAGCGAGGAGCCCCAGCTCCGCGTCACCCGCGAAAGCTACGAAGAGGCCCTGCTGCAGGCCACGCAGCTCGAGCTGCAGCGCAGCAGCTTGAGGGCCCGGCTGCAGCAGCTGCTGCGCAGCAAAGAGCAGCAGCAGCAAACGCATGCAGCAAAAGTCGCCGAGTGCAGACGCGCCTTTGCGTGAGACCGCACTCCCCAAACCCTAAAAAAGGGTTTCTCCACCTTCAGGCCTCCTTTCCAATCCGCGTTTCCTGCTGCTGCCGCTGCTGCTGCTGCTGCTGCTGCTGCTGCTGCTGCTGCGCTAGGTGTATGTACACCGCATGGCCGTCAGGCTTTAAATTTTGGTTTTGTTTTTTTAGAGAATTTGTTTTGCAAGTGGCGAAGAACTCGGTATTGCGGAGAGGCCAGAAGCCAGTGAGCGAGCGGCAGGTTGCGCTGCTGCTGCAGCGGGAGGAGCAGCAGCAGCAGCAGATCCGGGAGCTGCGGCAGCAGCTGCTGCAGCAGCAGTACCAGCAGCAGCTGCAGCAGGCGCAGCGAGCAGCAAACGGCGAGTGGGATGAAGACAGCTGCAGCCCCCTGCAGGCCATGGACTTCGAGCAGCTCAAAATGGAAAACCAAACCCTCAACGAAAAGCTCGTGCTGCGCCAAGAAGAAGCAAAAAAGCTGCAGAGCCTCACCAAAAAGGCTGCACAGGTCAGCAGCAGCAGCAGCAGCAGCAGCAGCAGCAGCAGCAGCAGCAGCAGCGGCAGCAGGGCCAGCTGAGCAGACGCTAGGCAGCTGCGGGAAACAAAGACTTTCTATCCAGTTCAAATCCAGATAGCCAGCTAGATAGCCTCCACGCATATGGCCAGCTAGCTAGTCAGCTAGCTAGGTAGCTAGCCGGCTAGCTAGCTAGCTAGCTGACTAGCTAGCTAGCTAGCTGGGGAAGAACTTGCAGGGTTCTAGGGACAGACTGAGAGCCTCCAGTTCCTTTCCATAATGCTGCAGGAGCTGCTGCTTCTTCGCTGCTGCTCTCCACTTTATCGCCGCTGCTGCACTACATTTGGTTGCTGCTGCTGCTGCTGCTGCTGCTGCTGCTTCGCTGCTGCTTGGGATTTGTTTGCTGCTGCTGCTGGTGCTTGTGCTGCGGCCAGCTGATAACGCACTGGCGGGAGAAGCTGGCGTTTGAGGAGCGGCGGAATGCAGCAGCAGCAGCAGAGCTGCAGCAGCTAGAGCAACAGCTAGCCAGCGAGCGGCAGCTAGCTGCGCTGCTGCAGCGCGAAAGGGCTGGCTGCCGCCTGGCCAACGAGCGGCTGAAGTCCAGGGCCGAGCTGGTCAACTCCGAGCTGCTGGCAGCAGACTGGGAGGCCACCCAGGAGAAGCTCCGCGACACCAAGGCCCAGGTCCAAACCCTAAACCCTAAACCCTAAACCCTAAGCCCTGAAGCCTCAGTGGGGGGTCTGGGGAGGCGGGGTTCTTCGACGCGCGCAGAGAGCCGCTGGGTTGATCTTGGCTTTCAGTTGCGATTCCGGTCTTCCGAAAGCTGCAGCAGTGCAGGAATCTCAAGCTTCTGCTGCTGCTGCTGCTGCTGCTGCGCAGATCGCGGCGCTGCGGGAGCGGTACGCGCAGCTGACTTCGTTTGTGGCGGACTCCGTTCGCCACCGAGATCGCCGGAAATCGAGGCTGACTGCAGAGGCTTCGAAGCTGCTGATGCGGCATTTAAACAGCACAGATAATTCTTTTATTCAAACTGGAGAAAGCACCAGCAGTTCGGAAGTGACGGCCACTCCTCGCCAGTTCTGAGCCGCGGCGCCCCGAGGTGTACAGACACCCTAAGACCCTGCGACGCTTCCCACTGGAAAACGAAACAAATCCCGAAGAGAAATTATTAATTAGTTCTTTATTTTCGTGTTTTTGAGCTATTTTCGCAAAATGAAACAAGCACGCGCGAGCGGAACTCTTTCTGTTCAATTAATTTGCAGCTCGAAAGCTCCAAATTCAGATCCGAACTTGAACTTGGAATCGACTTCATTTCCCGGTGGAATCTGCTGCTTGAAAATGCAGCAGCTGATATTCTTTCTTTATTTTGAATTTAAAAGGAATTGCAGAAAAGGCAAACAAGCAGCAGCCCAGAAAATGCGCAGTTGAATATCTTTTCAAGAATCGGAGCTGCAGGATTCGCCGCAGTTGGAGAGATCTTCGCTACAACTTTGTCTGTTATTTAAAAAGACTTTTGTTAGAGTTTATTTTTTAGGAAAGCAGCAATTAATTCCACTTAATTCTTTGTTTAAAAGTCCTTTTCTTTTTTCACTTTTAAGTTTCATCTGTCAAGGCCAAAGCTCTGTCAGCACTCACTTTTGTCTTCAAATGCAAATGGTAAAATCGAAAGGCCTTTTCCTTCAGTCTGGCTTTTATGGCTGCGCAGTTTCAAATTGTGTAAGGGACTGCACATCAGCAGCAGCAGCAGCAGCAGCAGCAGCAGCAGGAAGTGCGAGGCCTGGGGCTAAAATAAATGGGAATTGAACAAATGGAATTATGTTTTTAATTTTGAATTCTTTTGGTGTTGGGTTTTTGAATATTCATCTTCTTGCCTTGGCCGCGTGGGAAGCTGCAGCGCAGGAAAGCCTGGACGAAGGGCAAATTGCAATTTGAATTATTTTTTGGTTTAAAAGGACTTTTGAATTTAAAAAGATAATTAGTTTGCAAAAAGTATTTACATTTGTTTTATATTTCATCCCGGGAGAAGCGCGGAAGAGCGGAGTCAAGGAGTGCAGCTTCTGGGCGAGACAGAAGCCCGCGCCGAGCCAAAAGCTGAATTTGCAAATAAAGGCGGATTTGGACCAAAAAAAAGATGAAATAAACAGAATTTCGTTTTTGTTTTTAAAAATAAAAGTAAAAACGCATTTAAAGTATCTTTAATTGCGTTGGAAAGCGAGTTTGTTTGCCGGCAGCTCTTTGGAAACCCGAGCGGTATTCCAGTGGTCAGCAGCTCTGCAGGACGCGCAGCAAGAACCGCGGCTGATCTGCGCCAAAGCGCGAGGATCTCGAATTAAATTTCGAAAATTAAAGTAATTTTAAGATTTTATTCACGATAAAACCTGGAAAAAGCTCCTAATTCGTTTGATCGAGGCCGAATCGTCGCTGCCGACCGCGAAAGCCGCGTCCACCGGCCGCACTCTGGCTGCCGCCGCGCACCGAGACTCGATCTTCTCTTCAAATGCAATTCAAGTTCCGTTTTGAATTCATTTAAAAGCTGTAAAGGCAGCCACTATGTTTAAATTCCCATCCACTGCTCGCAGACAGCCCAGCTGGTAAGCCGGCGCCGCGGGAAGCACAGAATGGCTGGCGGGGCAAAGAACCTGGCCCCGAAGCGGCGCCTCGCCTTCGGAGTTTTCTTTTTCCTTTTTGCACTTCGAGGTAAGACAAATAAATAAAACTAAATAAAAGGGGGGGGCTGCCAGGTGTACAGCCACCTGGTCCCATCGACGGCCGCCATGCAGCTCGGTGGCGCCTTAACTTCTGTCTTTCTCTTCCCCCTTGCAGTCTTCTTGCGGGATTCGCCCCATCCACTTAGCTCTGAGGGCCCGTGGAGGCTGTCTTAGACGAATTAGCTGCTGCTGCTGCTGCTAATCGCAGCAGTTTGCTGCTCCTGCAGTGGGGAACCTTCCCGATTCACTCTGCCAGTGCTAGAAGCTGCTCACACGGACGCTAGGGCCATTTCTTGTTCCACTTTGCATGCAGAGCTTTCTCTTCTGTGTCCATTAGTGGTGTGTGTGTCCATCGGCTGCTGCTGCCTCCTCCCCCTGACTGTTTATCCGAGGAGCAGCAGCAGCAGCAGCAGCAGCAGCAGCACTTCTTGCATTTCCCTGTCTCTGGCTAAAATCTGCCTCTGTATTTTGCTGCGCTGCTGCCTGTCCAGCGGGAGCTGCTGCTGCAGTGTCCCTGCACCCCAAGGACCACCTGAAGTGGCCGTCTGCTGCAGCTGCTCCTGCTGCTGCTGCTGACACTCCGGAGCTGGGGGCCTTTGGGACTTCAAATTTTTTCGAAGTCTTCTCCAGAAATGCCGCAGCTGCAGCCCCGGGGGCCCCCCTTGGGGGCTCTCAGTGGGGCCCCACTGCCTTCGCTGACTTCGAGGGGCCACCGGCCCAGCAGCTCCTAGCCCCCAGCAGCAGCAGCAGCAGCAGCAGCAGCAGCGGCGGCGGCTGGGGCGTCTCTGCGCTGCAGCTGGGGGGCGAAGAGGGTAGCCAGGAAGCTGAGGGCGAAGCAGACTTGGCAAAGAGTGAAGAAGCAAAGAGTAAAGACTCGGAAGCAGCAGCAGAAGAGGAGGCTGGAGAAGAAGCCAGCAGCAGCAGCAGCAGCAGCAGCAGCGGCGGCGGCAGTCCGGAGGCAGCGGGCAGCAAAGAAGGCGCTGCAGAAGAAGGAAGCAAAACTGAAGAGAAGGCGGCAGAAGAAAGTTCGGAACAAAGGGCAGCAGCAAAATCGGAAGCTGCTGCTGCAGCAGAATCTTCTGCTGCTCCATCTGAAGAAGCAGCAGCAGAAGCTGAAAAAGAGGAAGCAGAAAAAGAAGAGGAGGCGGGCGAAGAGAAAGAAGAAAAAGCTGCTGAGGCAGCAGAGCCCCCAAGCGAGAAACCTGCTGCTGCTGCTGCTGCTGCTGAAGCTCCTGCTGCTGCTGCTGCTGCTGCAGAGAAAGCTGAAGCTGCTGCGCCTGCTGGCGCTGCTGCAGCTGGCGGGAAAGCCCCTGCAGCTGAGGGCGAAGAAGAAGGCAGCAGCGCAGCAGCTGCAGCAAATGAGAAAACGGAAGAAGAAGCAGCAGCAGAAGAAGAGGGGGCTGAGGAAGCTGAAGGAGAGGGTGCTGCTGCTGCTGCTGCAGCTGGGGGGGCGGAAAAGGCAGGAGCAGCAGCAGCAGAAGCAGCAAAGCCCGCAGAAGCACCAGGAGCAAAAGAAGAAAAGCCCGAAGAGGCAGAGGAAGAGGAAGCCCCTGCTGCAGCAGCAAAACCCGCGGAGGCCCAAAAGGAGCAGCAGCAGCAGCAGCCGGCAGCAGCGCAGCAAACAACAACAACAACAGCAGCAACAACAACAGCAGCAGAAGCAGCAACAACAACAACAACAACAGCAACAACAGCAGCAGAAGCAGCAACAACAACAACAGCAGCGGCAGCGGAGGCAGCAGCACCGCCAACAACAGCAGAAACAGCAGCAACAACAGCTGCAGCAGCAATAACGCCGACAACAGAAGCAGCAGCGCCACCTGCAACGTCAGAAGCAGCACCAGCAGCACCAACAGCAGCAGCAGCAGCTCAGCAGCCAGAAGGAGCCTTTTTGCCAGCAGAAGAAGGCAAGGCAGGAGGCGCAGAGGAAGTAACAAAGAAAGAGGGGCCCGAAGCAGCCGCAGCAGCAGCAGCAGCAGCAGCAGACTTCAAGGGAAGGTGCTACTCTGATTTGGCCCTGGAGGCCATTGAGAAGGAGCAGCAGCTAATTAAAAAAGCTGCTGAAAATGGTGAGCTGCAGCAGCAAGTTCACTGCAGCAGCAAGTTCACTGCAGCAGCAAGTTCACTGCAGCAGCAGCTGCTGCAGTGCCGCGATTAAGCCTTCATTTGTGTGGCCTAAGAGTTAAGTTAATCAATTAATTAATTAATGTATTTTTATTTTTGTTCTATTTAAATTTAAAATATCTGAATTTCGATTTCATATTTTTCTTCCTTGCATGCGCAAACAGCGAATTCAAGTTTAACTTTCTCTTCTTTTCTTTTTCATTTAGATCTTCTTTCAAGCAGCAGCAGTTCCTTAAACAAATGCATAGAGAGCTGTTGCTGCTGCTGCTGCTGTTCTTTTGGTTTTGCGTTAATTAATGCATGCGTGCTTGTCTGCATGCATGCATTCACCTCTGCATGCATGCATTTCTGCATGCATATCTGCCTGCCTGGACGTGGCCACCCGCTTTGTTGCCCTCGCTGGAGCGTCGCGAGCTGCGTGTGCATTTGCTGCTGCTGCTGCTGCTGCTGCTGCTGCTGCAGTGCACTTCCAAGAAGCGGAGCAGGCCTTCTGCGACGAAGTCTTTCGGCGCATCGAAGGGCCCTACTCCCTGGGCGAACTCTCCGCGCTGCTGCGAGCAGCAGATGTGGCCAATTCGCTCCACAGAAACTTCAGATACTGCAGAGCCACTCACGTGCGCTGTCTGTACACCCCGTTCTGCCCTTTGCCTCTCTTTCGCACTGTCTGTACACCCGGTTTACCGTCTTTTGCCTCTCTTAGAGCTGTCTGTACACCCCGTTCTGCCCTTTGCCTCTCTTTGGAGCTATCTGTACACCCCGTCTACTGCCTTTTGCCTGTCTTTCGAGCTGTCTGTACACCCCCTTTGGTGCCCTTTGCCTCTCTTTCGAGCTGTCTGTACACCCCGTCCACTGCTCTTTTGTACACCCCGCTTACTGCCTTTTGCCTCTCTTTCGAGCTGTCTGTACACCCCGTCTACTGCTCTTTTGCCTCTCTTAGAGCTGTCTGTACACCCCGTTTACTGCCCTTTGGCCTCTCTTTGGAGCTGTCTGTACACCCCGTTTGGGGTCTTTTTGCCTCTCACTTGAGCTGTCTGTACACCCCGTTAAGTGCGTTTTTGCCGCAACTCTGAGCTGTCTGTACACCCCGTTCTTTGGCGTTTTGCCTCGCGCTTGAGCTGTCCGTACACCCGGCGGGGGCCCTGTGCATGCGAGCGTGGGGAAGCTGATCACTTATTTGAATTCTCGGAAGTTAGTTTTGCTGCTGTTGCGCAGAGCAGCAGCCCCCCCCGCGTGCGGGACGGGGACTCGATTTTGCATGCAGCAGTTGCAGCAAGAAAGCCCCAAGTTGCTGAAGTGCTGCTGCAGTACGGGGCCTTTCCCGAACTCCCTGCAATCCCGCAGCAGCCGCAGCAGCCGCAGCAGCTGCAGCAGCAGCAGCGCATGCAGCGGCCCCTCCACGGGCTCAACACCGCAGAGGTGCGGCCGCCAGCAGCAGCAGCCACCCAGCGGGGTTTAGGGTTTAGGGTTTAGGGTTTGGGGCGTCGGGGTTCAGGTTTGGGGTGCAGAGGCTCGTGCCCAGGCTAGAGTTGCGTTTTAGGGTTTAGGGTTTAGGGCTTGCTGCGGGGCTGCTGCTTGGGGCAGGTGGTGAACGGGAAGCCGCTGCATGCAGCGGCGCTGCTGCAGGCGCCGGACAGCGTGGAAGCAGCAGAGCTGCTGCTGCAGTACGGAGCGCATGCAGACAGCCGCGAGGGTTTGGGGCGGACTCCGCTGATGGTTGCTGCGCTGCACCCCACAGCTCATTCCCACGAGTTCGTGAAGAAGCTGCTGCTCTTCGGGGCCTCCGTGGAGGCCACAGACAACGTAAGCCGCGCCCCTTGCTGCTGCTGCTGCTGCTGCAGCGCGCTGCAGCGCGCTGCAGCAGCGCGCTGAAGCAGCGCGCTGCAGCGGCTTGCGCGCCCGGGAGGCGCGCCGCGCCGTGCTCACCCTGCTGCTGCTGCTGCTGCTGCTGCTGCAGGCGGGGCTGGGGGCGCTGCACTACGCGGCAGCGTCGGACAACTGGGCAGTGGTGGGCATTCTGCTGGACCACGGGGCGGATGCTGCAGCAGCAGACGCGCGGGGCAACACGGCGCTGCACTACGCAGCAGCATTTAACGCGCACAGCGCAGCAGCGCGGCTGCTGGAGAAAGCAGCAGCAAGTCTGAACATCAACAGCCGCAACAGCCGCGGCGAGGCCCCCATCCACCTTGCTGCTGCTCCCCGCGGCTTCCGCGCCGTGCCCAGGCCCATAGTGCCTGCGCTGGCCCTCGAGGCGCTGCTGCTGCACCACGCCAACCCCATGGCTCGCGACAAAGACGGAAACACTCCTCTCCACGTGGCAGCGAAGGGCGGCTACGTCGAGATCCTCAAACGCCTCGTGGCCACCACGGGGGCCCCCGCCGAGGAGAAAAACGCCGTGAGACCGGGCCCGCTGCTGCTGCTGCTGCTGCTGCTGCTGCTGCTGCCAGCTTTCCTTTCGCCCCCGCGGGGCCCCACTCCGCCTCCCGGCCGGCCTTTTGCTCCAAATATGCAGCTTAATTGCCTTTTCGTGCTTAATTTCCCGCAAGCAGCAGCGGGTTCGGCGCTGCTGCCAAGTTCGCCGCCTATTCAAACTCTGCTCGTGCAAATTGCAAATGCTGCGCTGCTGCTGCGCAGGACGGGCTCACCCCCCTCGCTCTAGCCGAAAAGGCCGGAGAAGGCCCCGGACTTGAAGAAGTCAAACAGTTTCTGCGGGTCTACGGCGAGAAAAGAAGTGGGCTCTCAGCGCCGGCAGCTGCTGCAGCGTGGCCAGTCTGCAGGCTTGCTGCTGCAGTCGGAGCCCCTGATCCTCAGCTTTCCCGCCTTCCAAAATCAGATCCGATCGGGAACTAGGCTTTGCAAAAGGGTTTAGGGCTTAGGGTTTAGAGATCCGGGCGAAACGCTGCGCTTTCCTCTCTGGCTGCTCTCTGCAGGCTGCGTGGAGCCGCCGATGGTGCGGCATTCAACTCGCATCTTTTCAGACACAGTTCTGGGCCCTTACATGCGCGTGGTGAGTGTCAGTTGTTCCCAATTTTATTCTCCAAGGCCCTTAAAATAGTCCTTTATGCAGCAGTTCCGGTGGTCTGCATGGTTGGTGGGAAATGCCTGAAATGCGCACCGCGTGTCCGTTCTTTCTTTGTCTGTTGCCTCCTTTTCCCGTTCTTCCCTGCCTTTCAAGTGCTCGTTCAAGTGCCTTTCCACTCTGCACAGCTGCTGCTGCTGCTGCTGCAGCAGCAGCAGCAGCTTGAATGTTCTTGAACTTTCCGAAATTGTGTGCTTTTTGCGGCTGTCTCGCTGCGCAGGGCGACTCGGTGACCTACAGCTGCAACCCCGGCTTCACCATGCTGGGCCATCCGAAAGTAACTTGTCAAGAACGCGACGGGAAAATGGAATTTGTGCCTTCGGCGCCGTTGTGCGTTCTGCACAGAGAGGTGTCTGGCGCTGCTGCTGCATGGCGGCTGCTGCCCGTGGGCTCCTTCCTGGGGCTTTCTCTATGTTTCGCCGCGTTTATTTGATTTAAAAAGACGAAATGTGAAAACTAACAAGAACAAAGCCAAACACCCGCAGCAGCTCGGCCCAAACGCCGCAGCTCGATGCACTTAATGCATTTTAGGGCGGAAACTGCCCGCGCTTACGTCTTAGCCTTGGTTTTATTTAGCGGCCTTTCAGCTGAGAAGGCCGACCGCAAACAAAAACTTTTAATTGCAAATTTTCTTCAAATGCGTTTCAACAAGAAGAGCAGACGCGGCTCAGAAAAGAACGCGAGAAACAGGCGCCAGATTTGCTCCCTTTAAGTCTTTTGCGCTTTTGCAACTCATGTCTGAGCACGTACACTGTTCGCACACATGTCCATGCTTTTTGCAGAGTTTGCGTGTTTATGCATCCGTTTACATAAATGTATTCATTTATATACATTTATATATTCATTCATATACATGTATGTGTATATATGAGCGGACTATTCTTTTTGTTTGCGTGGCCGGCGCTGCTGTAAACAGAACACTAGAGTCCGCAGTTCATCGCTTTCCAGCAAATTTAGACTATTGGCATTTTCTTCTGCTGCTTCGAGGCAGCCTTAGAGGGCAAAGTGTTCAAAGCGAAGCAGCAAAAGTGGCTTTCTCCCTTATGTTAGGAGATACACTAGGCGGGGGAAGTGGCACAAATGAAACTAGAAGAAACAGAAAAGGCGCAAGTGAGAAGAAACCTTAGACAAAATGGCCTCTTTAGGTCTATAAGAATCACAAATAAAGTTTTCTCCTTTTCGCTGTGGGAAATTAACTTGAACAAGAGCTGAAAAGGAGCTTTTTGGCGCCAAGAGGCTCCAAGTGGAGCTCTGAACTGACGCCGTTTGTTTCCCAGAAAGATGATTCTGCGTAGCTGCTGCAGCTTTGAGAAAGCAAACAAAATTTAAAGTTTAAAAAACCTATAAAGGTAATCGGCACTTTTCTTTTGTGAGGCGATTCACCTTTAGGCTCCTTTGCCGGTTTTCCTCAAGACAACACAAGAAGTGTAAATGCCATAAATATTAGATCAGTACAATTAATCTCTAGGTGAGATTTTCTTCATCTTTGGGAAGAATTAAAAGCTGGCACAAACGGAATGAGTATTTCCCTTATCTTTAGGAAGAATTAAGAGCTGACACGAATAAAGAAGGCTCTCCATTAAGTGAAACTCTTCCTCTTGGCGAAACTTGAACAGCAACGCCATTTGGTGCGAAATGCAAGGACACAAAGCTAACTTGCAGATTAAATCAACGCAGACTTCAATTGTTTTTTGTATTTATTCAAAGTTTTAGACAAACTAACTCTAGAAGAGGAAAGGAGGCAACATTCAAGATGCGCACCAATGCAAATCACTGTGTTTCCCTCAATTGCTGTTTCGCAGCGAGCGCTCCTGCTGCTGCTGCTGTTGCTGCTGCTGCTCCTTCGCCTACATTCACCAGCAAAGCAGATCTTAACTTCCGCAGGTGAGCGTGCAAGCAAATAATAATTGGAATGCAAACGGACGCAAAAGGTCCACCTTTTCGGGAGGAGTTATGAAATGCGATAACTGATTTTGCTGTTCTTGCATACGGCTTGTCGTGCCACTAGGCTGCTAGAGGGGAGTGTTGCCCCCGTACAAAACGTCACAAGAGCTAAGAGATACAAAAAGACTTTTCCACAGACACAGTTTGCTGCAGCAGCAGCAGCAGCTGCTTTGGAAGCAGAGCAGTCGCCGGTGAACCTCTGCCGTTAAAACAACACCAAATAAAATTGTATTATGTACTTTCTGCATTTATTCGTTGGGCTCTCTTTGCTTTTTTCTCCCTAATTTTCCCTCCTCATCTTTGCCTCGCGATTTTGGAGTGTGGCCGCTCGCCGCCCTGCAGCGGCGCTGCGAGCATTGACGGTAAACTTACTTTTTTCTCCGCCCAAGTCTAAATTTGGTTTTTGTTCTGAGTGCGTCTTTACTTGGGCTGAGACACGAGAGTTTATCTGCACAGGATTTTCGTTTCTGCGCGCCTGTTTGTGGCGCCGACGAACGCAGGCAGTCCGGGAAATGCGGGATACCGTGCAGAAAACTGGTGACTGCGGAGGGCGAAGGAAGAAAGTTTTCTTCAATGTATTAAATGAAGAATCATTTCGACTGCTTGGCGCTGGAGACGGCCCGGAATTGAGCCGGCAGGCAAGGCTGCGCACAGCGGGAATGGAAAGCCGGAGTGCGATTTCAGGCTTTTCCGCGAAGGGAAATCCCGTGAAAGTTTGCATACTGCATTTATAGTAAGTTGTTTCATTGTTGGCGCTTTGATCTAAAGAGGAAAGACGGCCGCTTGGCGTGAGACGCTGCTGCAGGCGAAACTTCCGTACATGCACAGGACGCAGGGGCCTGCTATTTGCCTCTAGGCGGCGTGGCAGTGATCGTTGAATAAACAGAAGAGCGACTCCTCGTTTGAACTTATTTTGTGTTTTTGTTGCGTTTCCAGAGCCCGATGGGGCCGTAATAGTATTTTAAAGTCGCGTTTCGCACAGTTTCCGCCCACCACCGCGGCACCCCCCATGACTCAGCCCCCGAACGCTGCTTATCTGCAGCTGCTGAGAGCGCCATTTAGTAATTTTCGGGGATTTTGGTAACAACTCGGCCAGCCGACAGTGCCTCTCGGCCCCGCTTGAAGCCGGCGGGCGAGGGGCGCCAGCAAAATGTCGCAGTTCCGGGACACCTTCACGAAAGACGAGCAGCGGGAGAACCTGCTCGACTACGACGACAACGCGTTTATGTTTTTCTTGTGCAGCGTCACAGTGTGCATTTTGATCCCCTGGACCTTCTTCTTCCTCCGAAAATGCCTCGCGGTGTCCAACGCCTACCGCCAGAAGTACCCCGAGAAGACTGCAGCGGGTTCCACTCTGCGGCACTGCCAGTGCAGCGCCTGCGTGGCCCAGCGCGCTGCGCTCCACAAGGAGCTTTCGCTGTTCCGCACGCGTTTCCTCACTAAGGGGCGGCTCACCGAGTTCGCAGCCCTGATGCTGTGCTGGTTGGGCTTCGTGCTGATCTGCCGCAACCTGCAAGACGTGCAGAGCATCAAGACCTTCGACCCCTTCGAAATCCTCGACATCAGCCCCTCAGCCACGCAGAGGGAAATCAAGAAGGCCTACCGCCTCATGTCCCTCAAGTACCACCCCGACAAGAACGTGAACGACCCCACGCAGGGGGCCCGATTCATCATGATCGCCAAGGCCTACCAGGCTCTGACAGACGAAGTGAGCTTCGCTGCGAGTAATAAAAGCCATTTTGTTCAGGTTTTCGGCCTCTTGCCTCGGCTTTTCAGTGCATTCCGCCCGTGGCTGCGCACTGCGCAACTTGTGCGAAAGCGCGAACCCACCAGTGGGTTCCAGCGGCTTCTTCGCTGCTTTGCTGCATTTTTTGTCCTAGGTGGCGAAAAAGAACTACGAGAAATATGGAAACCCTGACGGGCCGGGCGGCATGAAGATTGGCGTTGGTCTTCCCCGTTTCTTGGTGGAGGAAACGAACCAGATTTTCGTTCTTTCTTTCTTCTTCCTCTTCCTTCTCGTTGTCTTGCCTATGATCTTCCTGTGTTACTACCAGCGACAAAAGAAATACGCCCGTGGGTTCACACACTATGCAGTTCGGCACGGCGCTTTGTATACATGTTTTGCATATTTTCGTTGGGGTGCTCCTGTGGCTGTCCTGTACGCACAACTGCGAATGCTGGTTGCTTCGAACACTCGGCGACTTCGTAGAGTTCTTGGCTCTTAAATTGGTTCAAAAGGAGAATTGAAAGCACTTTATTCTTTCCGAAGTCGCCGTGCCTGCACCGGGATGCTGCAGCGAACGGAGTCATGGTTGAAACCGTTCAGTTCCTCACGCACGTGATGACGGACGGCACGAGGCTGAAGAACCTGCCGGAGCTCATGGCTGCGAGTGGAGAAAGCCGGGCCATGAAAATTGAACGCGACGACGACAAAGACATGAAGCAAATATGCGATGCTGTTGTGGAGGCGAAGAAGCGCATCTTCACAGTTCCAGTGATCGTCAGGTGGGTCTGTGCAGCTGCAGCGTTCTGCACTTGCAGCTCGATACCCATGCGCTCTTGCGTGGCTGTGTTCGCTGCGGGGCTGCAGGAACTGTTACCTCATCAACGCCCACATGCAGCGGCTGCACGAACTCATGAGCCCGCGACTGAAGAAGGAGCTGAACCAGCTGCTCAAGTAGGCCGCGGCCTTGTGGAGGCCCCGCGGGCCGCCTGCTTGCTGCAGCAGTTCGAAGCCGCTCGGCTTCCCTCGCAAAGACTTGCTTGCTGCTGCATGCGTTGGCGAGCTGCTGCAGGGACTCGCTGCCGATTACGCAGTGCATGATGGAGATCTCCGTCCTCAGCGACTGGTACTTGACGGCGGACTCGGTTTTGGAGTTCCGGCGCTGCCTGATCCAGGCCATCAACGGGCGGACTCAGTCGCTGTTCCAAATCCCGCACTTCGACGAGGAAGTCGTTCGCCACTGTCACCGGTGAGGGCCGTTGGCCGCAGCGCCTTTGCAGGCACTTCGCCGTCAGCTCTATTCTAAGCCCAGCTGCGGCTTCTGCGGGGCTCTTTCCCCGAGCCGCGCTGCATGCGCCGTCGGCCGCGCGCCTTTGCTGTTCAGCGGCAAGCACGTCATTCGCGAGCTGAGCGAGTTCCTGCGGCAAGAGGGCGAGGAGCGGAGAGGCACCCTCGACATGTCCAAGGAGCAGCAGGCCGACGTCCAGGCCTTCTGCGACCACGTCCCCAACATTGACCTCAAGGCCGAAATCGTTGTAGATGATGAAGCTGAAATTGTAGTCGGCGACATCGCGACTTGCCGCATCACCCTCACCCGAAAAAACTTGAAGGTCCGCATGCGCAGCGCGGCCTCTTTCGACAGACGCCGGTGCCGCAAGCCCTGCGCAGACTTTGAGGATGTGGCTTCCTGAAAAATGTGGTTCTGCAGTTGCCAAAGGCGTGAGTTTCTGCTGCACTGCTTGCAGGAGGGCGAAGCTGCAGGAGCA